TTCCTTCCTTCCTTCCTTCCTTCCTTCCTTCCTTCCTTCCTTCCTTCTCTATAGCTCCCTCCTCCTCCTTCCTTCCTTCTCTCCAATCTTCCTTCCTTCCCTCCCTCCCAAAAAGTGACTTTGCGCAGCTTACAAGCAGAATAATTAAAGCCGCCTCCCAACAGGGGGAAAAACAACAACCCAACATCCACAAAATTAAAAGCATAAAAGGAGTAAACCAAGGGCCCCCAACGTAGCCTCGTTCAACCGCTTTGCGGGCTCCCCGGGGTGGTGGGAAGAACCAGGTGGGAGCAGATACGGGATCGGGGGAGCCTCCCTCTCCTGCCAGGTCTGATGGGATGGGCAGGTGTACCTGGGAAGAATAACCTGGATGCTCTCGAGTCACCTGGTTCTACAGGTGTGGATCCCAGGGGTTAATTCTGCAGGGTGTTTCTTCCCTTCCAATTTAAATCCGGAGGGAAGGAACAGCTGGGAGGAAGGAACAAAGCCCTCCATCCGTCTGAGCCTCGACTTATGACCACAATGGAGCCCAAACATTTCTGTTGCTAAGTGGAGCCAGTTTACTTTTACTCTGCTTTCAACCCCGTTCCAGCCACAAGCGGTTCAGAGAATCGCTGCATTTCTCGCACAGTTGTTCAGCGAGCCTAGCTTCCTCCTTTCCCGTGGTCGCAAAAGGAGGCTGCTTCAGCCGTCGTAAGTATGAGTCATTTGCCGAGCCTCCAGATTTAGACCCCATGATTCCCCCAGGGGGGAAGCCGCAGCGGTCGTTAAGCATGAGAAATGGTCGAAAGTCAAGGGGAAGCTGCCGTGAATGTGTTAAGTTTGAAAAAAGGCCGTGAGTTCCTTTTTTGTTTTGTTTTCAGCACCGTTGTAACTTCGACCGGTCACTAAACGAATTGTTGTAAGCCGAGGCCTACCGGTACCAAGAATTGCCTCCGTTTTTATTGTAAAATACAACACCTTTTTTTTTTCCTGCTACGAAAAACTTTCCCAGGGGGGCGGGATGAGGAATTGCCCAGAATTATGTTTGCAATCGATGTTGTTCTCTTCCCAAAATCTCCTCTGAACGTTTCACGTTTAATTTTTATTTTTAATCCAGGCCGGTCCGAGAGCCAGCAAAGCCATTGGTCTGTCTTCTCCTGTTTGACCAAGGAGGCTTTTAATACTCCCTGGGTGAAATTTGAGCCTAGGGCCAATGTAAGGAGATACCCCCTGGCTGTAAAGACAACAACGATCTGGGGGGAAAAAATAAAGGAAGGAAGGAAGGAAGAAAGGAAGGAAAGAAGGAAGGAAGGAAGGAAGGAAGGAAGGAAAGAGAATAGAGCTGGAAAGGACGGAAGGAAGGAAGGAAGGAGGCCATTGGATTTGGTGGAATTCCCTGGATATTATAAAATTACAGGGCAAATCCTTGACTTCCAAGCATTCACCGAAGCCACAAAGGCACCGAAGAAAGGGACTTACGACCGTTTCCCACACTTACGACCGTTGCAACATTCCCGGGCAACCGCCTCGTAATTATAATGGCCGCAGCATCCCTGGGGGTGGCTGCGTGCGTGCGTGTCAGGCGATTTCCCCTTTTGCGACGGATTGTGATTCACTTCACAGGCTTAAAAAAAAAACAACCGTGCCGCGATTCGCTTAGCAACGGAAGGCACGGAAGGCAACGGGGGACAAAACTGGCCCAGCAACCTTAAGCGGTGGATAATTTGGGGCTCCGTTGGCGGTCGGAAGCCGAGGAAATGATCTGTCGATCTCCCCGCGAATAAGGCAGTGGCTACTTGGGAATGGAAGGGTTGGAGGTGCTAATCTAACCACCTGAGGCTGGATCTTGCGGGGGGGGGGGGGGGGGGGGGGGGGCGGGGGCCCGGTTTTGGTGGGGCTGGAGAATCCGAAGCCTTGGGATGCCACACTTCCTCCGCCGGAGCTGAAGGTGCCCATCGGCTTCTGGTCACCAAAGGAAGCGGTGCCAAATCCAAAACTTTTGGCCCCGCTGTTTCCAAAAAGGTTCGAAGTGTCTGCGATGGGGGAAGGAGGGAAAAATTTTTTAAAAAATCTTCTCCTTCTCTTTTCTCCCTTGGACAGCGTAAAGCTACAGGCAGTCCTCGACTTTACGACAGTTCACTTAGGGACCGTTCCAAAGTGACCACGGCGGTTAGAGAGCGCGTCGATGGCGCAGCCGCAGAAAACACGCAGTGTAAGCAGCACAGCGGTTCTTGACTTACGGCCACAAAAAATGGGAGCACCCCCCACCCCCATGTGCGTGTAGCTAAGCCGGGCAATTGTTAAAAGCAAGTTTTGCTCTGTTTTACGACCTTTCTTGCCACCGTTGCTAAGGGAATCATTGCCGTTGTTAAGTTGGTGACATGGTTGTTAGGTGAAGCGGGATTTAAACCCCCCCCCCAACCCTCATTGACTTGGCTTGCCAGAAGGTCACACAAAAGGGGACCCCCCCCCTCACTCTCTCACACACACACACACACACACACCCAGGGGACATTGCGACGGTCATAAATACGAGCCGGAGGCCAAGAGTCCGAAGGTCTGTGACCACGTGACCCCGAGGATAATGCAACGGTCGTTAAGTGTGAAAAAGGTCGCTGTTGTAACCGTGAAACAGTCACTAAAGGAACGGGCGTTAAGTCCAGGACTACCGATGCAAAATCTGTGCCCTGTGGATCTGCAGCCTGCAAGGAGGCCGCTATCCAACGGGGGAAAGCTGCGGTTCCACTTACTTTGATTGGCCGAGGAGCCAAAGCCGCCGCTGGTACAGCCAAAGGGGTTCTTGTTGGCCGCCTCGTGACTCGGTTTCCCCCCCAGGCCGCTGAAGAAGCCCCCCGCTCTCCCGCCGCCACCGGATCCAAAGAGACCCCCGCTGGAAGAGGAGGGCTGCGAAAGACCCAAGGAAGAAATGTTAGGCCGGGTCGGCCCGATTCAAACAAAGCCTTTAGAACAGGATAACGGCATTGGAAGGGACCCGGAGGTCTTCTAGTCCAACCCCCAAGTCTTAAAAGTTGCCAAGTTTGGGGACCCTTGTTCTGGAGGCTAGCTGTTCCACCGATTGATTGTCCTTTCTATTAGGAAAATTCTCCTTCATTTTAGGTCGCTTCTCTCCTTGTTTAGTTTCCATCTGTTGCTTCTTATCCCTGCTTTCGGGTGCTTTGGAGAATAAGTCAATAATCCCTTCTTCCTCTCTCTGACAGTCCCTCAAATATTAGAATATTGCTATCCTGTCTCCCCTAGTCCTTCTCTTCATCCAACTAGACATACCCAGTTCCTGCAAACATTCTTTCTATGTTTTAGCCTCCAGCCTCTTGATCGCTTCTGTTGCTCGCCTCTGCACCCTTTTTCCACACACACCGTTTTTGTACTGTGGTGAACAGAACTGGAGACATCATCCCAAGAGTGGTCTCACCAAGGGAGTATAAAGTGGTACTAGCACGTTGTGGGATCTTGGTTCTATCCTAGTTTATTCAGCCTGGGACCCGTATTGGCTTTTTTGGGGCTGCTTGCAGCACCCGGCTGGCTCATGCTTAAATGATTACAACTGTAAGCAACTTTACAGTAGATTTTCTCCTGATCAGACCCATCAGTGCAATTTTGGAGAGGAAGATGGCTGGCTTGGAAGGGTTTACCTGGCCGAAGAGGCTCCCGCTGGTGTTGGTGGCTTGGCCAAACACGGTACTTGGGCTGCTGGATCCAAAGGCTGAAAGGATCAAGAGAAAACAAACGAGGTTCAACGGCTTGTGAAAACTGCACACTGGCATTCCTAGCCACGCAAATAAAGAACCGTTCATTTAGCGACCATTCAAAAATGCAAATGGTGAAGGCGCTAGAGGTGAGGACTAGTTGTAAATTTTTCCCCCAGCACCGTCCTGTGATACGTGGCCCACCAACACATCAACCCACGTTCTGCGTAATGTGGACAATGAAAGTTATGGTTAATGGATGAATGCCTTATGAGGTCTGAGTTCAGCACAGAAGGGATAGGGGAGAGGAAGGGAAAAAAAAGGAGGAAGAGAAGGGGGAGGAACGGAAGAAGGAAAGGGAAGGAGGAAGAAAAAGGGGAAGGGGAGGAGGAAGAGAAGGAGGTAGAAAGGGAAAGGGAAGGGAAAGGAAGGAAGGAAGGAAGGGAATGGAAAGAAAAGAGGGAGGGCAGGGAAAGAGGAAGGGAACGAAGAAGAGAAGGGGAAGGAGGAAGGGAAGGAAAAGGGAAGGGAATGGAAGGAAGGAAGGAAGGGAATGGAAAGAAAAGAGGGAGGGCAGGGGAAGAGGAAGGGAACGGAGAAGAGAAGGGGAAGGAGGAAGAGAAGGAAAAGGTGACGGAGAAAGAGAAGGGAAAGATAAGGGGGAAGGGAAGAGAAGAGGAAGGAGAAGGAAGGGAAAGGAAGAAAGAGAAGAGACAGCTTGGTCCCTTCCTGATTTTCTGGCGCCCCTTGTATAAATTGCATTTATGCTGGTTGCAGCCTCCGTGTGTGTGTGTGTGTGTGTGTGTGTGTGTGTGTGTGTGTGTGTATTATTATTGTTGTTGTTTGTTTGAAAAGCCCGTCCCAAAATAATCCCATGCCTTTAAACTCTGTTAATCATACATTCCCACGAAACGGTAACGAAGGATTCCGATTCAAAAGGAATTTATCAGCTCTTCCCAACGGTGCTTCTGGCGAGTTGTAATTACCCAGAAGGGTCCCTGCCCCTTAAAATATTCTTTTGTCCCGGTAATTAAGCGGAGTCTCTTTCCAAGAAAATGGGGCTCTTGCACGGTTAACCTGATTCGTCGTCTGGCATGGAGTCGGAGAAATTGTCAGTTCCTCTTTGCCCCCTTTCCTTGCAAATTTACTCAGCCAATGGCGCTCCGGGCTGCCTTTTTTTTTCTTAAGCAAAGAAGCCCCCGCACCCACCCCCCCAAAATCCCAGCCAATTTCCAATGCATGAAATTACACAATGTTTGCTGAGCACGAAAAACTGCCTAAGCTGGGATTCCAGTCAGAAAACGGGGTCGGGCGAGGTCAGGATTGAAAAAAAATGAATAAATCTAAATTTGCAATCTGGATGTTAATCTCTCTGCCCTTAAGGGTGGCGCAGAGTTTATTCCCCGGCTGCCATCCAGGGAGGATTGGATTTTGCCCGGGATTTTCATCTCTGGCTGACCAAGGGAAATAAATGTGTGGCACAATTACAGGTGCGGTCCTCGATTTGCAACAGTTCATTTCCTGACCGTTCAAAGTTACCACGGCGGGGCGAGGGGTGTGTGCGAAATATGGGACTATGACCGCTTTTCACACCGCTCGGGCGTCCCCGTGGGTCAGGAGATGGAAATATGGACGCTGACTCCTACTTATGATGGTGTGTGTGTCACGCTCTTGCGACCTTACCGGAAGCTTGACAGAAGCTGAAGCCGGCCGAAGAAGTCGGGGTGGTGGTTGTCATGGAAGCCGGGCTCGCAAAGACGGCCCCGCTCTGGCCAAAGTTGGAGCTCTCCCCGAAAACGGGAGCACTGCTCTGAACAAAAAGCCCAGCGGCTGTCGAAGGCTGTCCGAAGGAGAAAGAGCTGGCCGTGCTGCTGCTGGACGCTGCCGCCCCGAAGACGTTCCCGCTGCTGGACGCCGGAGGGGCGGAGGAAGCCGCTTGCCCGAAGGCCGGCGTGGCTCCGAAGCTGGCCTGGTTGAAGATAAAGCCGCCCTGCGGGTTGGCGGAGGACTGGCCAAAAATGGGAGCTTGTTGCCCAAAGGCCGACTGGCCGAAGCCAGAGGTGGCTGCAGTCCCGAAGACCGAGGTGTTAAACCCGGTGGCCACGGCCGAGGAAGACGGTGGGGCGGCGGGAGGCTGGCCGAAGGGAGAAGAGACCGGGGGGGCTGGTGAGGAGACCTGACCGAAGACCGGCGGAGCAGACGGGTTGGTCAAGCCGGCCGTGGCGGGCTGGCTGAAAGCTGAGCCGGTGGAAGAGGAAGAAGAAGAGGAAGGAAGAGGAGGAGGAGGAGGAGGCGGCAGTCCGGAGGGCTGTGGGAAGCCAGAAGAGGTCGGGATGGCCTCGGTAAAGGCAGAGGTGTTGTTGGCCGGGGTTGGCACGGACGCGGTGCTGGCTGGAGGGGAGGCAGTGGGTTCCGGGGGTTGTGAACCGGCGGCCGGTGGAGTGGAGGCAGCTGGGGTCTGCTCTTCTGCAGCGCCTTCAGGAAGAGGCAGCCCCGCAGTCTTGGGCTCGCCAGGCGCCAAGGCGGGAGCCGGATCTTTGCCAGGTGCAGCTTCCGAAGGAGTCGTCAGCTGCCCTCCCACTTCTGCCTCTGCTGGGGGAGGAGCAGCCACTTCAGCTGGACTCTGCTCGGGGGCCGGGATGAACGCCGGGGGGTCAACCTGTGCCGTCGGCGGTGACGTGGCCCCGTTGGTCGAAGGCGGCTTCTCGGCAGGGCTTGTCCGGGCGTCGTCTTCTCCCTTACCCGTGAGGGCAGCCGGCGTGGCCTCAGTGCTCAAGAGACTCCCGAAGGAGAGGCTTGGGGCGGATGGCGGAAGGGCCGAAGACGAGGAAGACGACGCTTGGGGGGCGCTGGTCGAAGGGCCCCTGAAGGCAAACGGAGCCTTGGCACCGCCCGCCGGCGTGGCGAGACCGAAGACATTGGGAGGAGCAGGATTGACCAAGTGGACATTGCCGAAGAGGCCACCGGTCGCCGAACTGCCCATCGTGGTGGTCAAGGTGGTGGGGCCGGCCTCGGCAGGCTTGCTCGCCGGCAGAGCGTTGCCAGCTGAAAAGCCCGGCGGCTGTGGCCCGGCGGCTGTGCCGGGGGAGGGTCCCTTAGCCGGAGCGGCCTTGGCGTTCTCGTCGGCTTGGCCAACCCTCAGACCGGAGAAGCTGCCCAGCGTCTCTCCGGCCACCGAGGCCTGGGTCACCGCATCTCCTAGTTTGAGGGGAAGGGTCTCCAGTTTGGGGGCGTTTGCAAAGGGAAGGGGAGTCTCGGCCGCTTGCCCGTTGCTGCTCAGCCCAGCAGGGTCTCCGGAGCTGGCTCTTCCGAAGGCGGGAAGGCCGGCTGTCTTGGAACCCCCGAAAGTAAACGGGGTCTCCGGGACGGAAGGAAATTTCATTCCTCCTCCAAGGGAAAAGGCTTCAGGTTGGTTCGACTCTTTCGCTGGCGTGGTTGTGGCTGCCAAAAGAATAACAAAAATGACAGAGTTGGAAGGGACCTTGGAGGTCATCTAGTCCAACCCCCTCCTCAAGCAGGACACCCTTCCCTCCTCCTGCTCCTCTTCCAAATAACAGAATTGGAAAGGATCTTGGAGGTCTTCTACGCCAGCCGTCGCCAACCACTGGTGGACCGTGAGAAAATTTTGGTGGGCCGCAGATAAATCTCACCCCCAGCGCAACCCCCCCCAAAGCAATTAATCCAGGCTGTGCAGAAACACAAGGCTGCGCTGCTCGCATGGGCCGCGGGAACCCTCCTCGCCCACTCACTCCTTACCCAGTAAACTTCCCTGCTAAATTGCTATTTTTCCTTTTTCCGACCATCAGCTGATTTAGATTAGCGAGGAAGCAGGAAATGGTTGGATTTCTTGCTTTCTAGCTAGTCTTTAGATCTTCGGCTCTGCTTTTAAGCACAGCCGAACCTCCCTTAGGACTGAAGGTTCTATTATTCAGTGCAGACTCACGGCAAAGCAAATTTCACGGGACAGACTGAGCTAGCCGATGGCAGATAGATAGATCACTGAATGATTCTGTGAGCAACTCAATCTGTCTGCCTGCTTTGCCTGATTTTGGGTCAAAGCTGCTCTTTTTTTTAATAAAAAAATTCAATATTTATATAAATATTTATAATATTTACCTACGAGCCATGCCCAGCCAGTCACACCCACAAATTAGGCCATTCCCACAGAACCGGTTAGTGGTCCCTGGGAGTTAAAATTATGAGTTTGGCGGTCCCTGAGGTCCAAAAGGTTGGCGACCCCTGTTCTAGTCTGACCTCCCGCCTTGTTCAATCAGAAGACACTGTACCCCAAAACTTACCTTCCGAAGCGGAAGAGGCCATCGTCGCAGCTAAAGCAGGGACTGCAGCAAAGTTAAACCCCGCCCTAAGTTTGAAAACAAAACAAACCAACACCCCATTTGTAAGAACTGCCTTATAGATGGCAGCAAGGTTTATATGTCGCTTCTTCTACGCTGCCATGTATGGTTGGTTTCCCCGCCCCCTCCCAGCTTGTCTGATTTTTTGGGGCGCCCACCCTTCGTTCTCTCTCCTACGTACAACCGAGGATTTCGGTCGAATTCCAGGGGGCGGCCGTGGTTATCTGTCTCGATCATCAATGAGGATTCAGGGAGCCCTTGACTCACAACCACAACGGAGGCTGGAGTTGTTTCTGTTGTTAAGCGAGGCAGTCGTTCAAGAAGGGAGCCGCGCCCGGTTCTACCACCCGGTTAAGCGAATTGCTACTTTATGAAATGAAATTACATAATTGTCCAAGGAATCTGTCTTCCCCTCCTATCCAGTTTACTTGTCGGAAGCCGGCTGGGAAGATCCCAAAAGTTGATCATGTCACAGACACACACACACACACAAACACGGCTGCAACTGACACAAGTACACGCCAGTTGCCAAGTGCCCAAATTTTTATCATGTGACTGGGGGGGGGGGGGGGAGGGAAGAAGTGCTGCAATGGTTGTCAGCCGCTTTTCCCAGTCCCATTGTAACTTTGAAGTAAACCAAGGGTTTGCAAGTCGTGGACTACCTATCGAGCCACGTTTCCCAACAGTGGCGATTTCGGGAGGCGTGGACTCCTCTTCCCAAGATTATTTGCAGCACGGCTGCGGAATTCTGGGAATTGGGTGTTTCTGCCTCTTGGAAAGCACCGAGACTCAAAGCGAGGTGACTCAGCTCTCATCTCGCTCACCACGCCACTAAAACGCAGCTGGGTTCTTCTGTTTGAGGGCCAGACGACAAAAGCTGAAAGTCTCTTGGATCGCTGCTTGGTGCTACATCCGCTATATCACAGGTGGTATTCAGCCGGTTCTGGAGAACCGGTAGCGGAAATTTTGAGTAGTTTGGAGAACCGGCCAATCCCACCTCTGACTGGTCCCGCCAACCTCATCTATTCTCTGCCTCCCATTGAGTCCCAGCTGATCGGCTGGGTTTTCTTTGGTTGCTCTGCACAGGAGAATGGAGCTGGAAAGCAGGTTAGTGGGGTGGGGAGGGAATGGGGATTTTGCAGTATCCTTCCCCTGCCACGCCCACCAAGCCAAGCCGCACCCACCCACCCATGTCACACTCACCAAGCCACGCCCAGAGAACCGGTAGTAAAATTTATTGAGTCTCACCACTGCGCTATACGCCCCCTCCCTTAAAAGGCCACCCCAGCGTTCGAAAAGAGGAGAGAATGGGAAGGTGGACAGTACTGACCCCGATGAAGCAAACGTGAAGTCTTTGTTGAACTGGGAAGCAGCGGCCGAGATGGACGTCGCCGGCGGCGTGTGGACAGGCGTGGCTGTCTTTGCGGCTCCTGCATCGTGAAAAAGTTACGTGAGAAAGAATCATGAAAGTTAGCAGATAACCGAAGCTCATCAAAATCCTGCCTCTCGCCCCCGAGAAACACCCAGCTGAGCTGTTCCTCTTTAGTATCCCACCTTCCTTCCAAGGAACAAATGTTGATGCCTTGGCTAGGTGTGATCTCCACCCCTCCCCACAAAGAGGCATCAAAGCTGTTTTATATTTCATATAAAAGAAACATTTTAAGAGAAGACAATATTTGTAGCTCAGGGTTGAATTGTGGGGCCCTTGGTGCTCTCTGAGCTTGGTGGTTTTCTCGCAGACGTTTCACTACCCAACTAGGTAACGTCATCAGTGCTAGAAGTGAGCGGGGTTTGCTCTCCGTTTATATGCTAGTGGCTTGACTACGTTGGTTAGTGTATTCTTGGTGGGGTTTTTTTTTTTGATTAGGCGACATTTTGCTGTTGATTCCCTGTTGGGAACAGGGAACCGAAAAGCAGTTCTTTCCTTTGCCTTTCAGTTCTCCAAATCCACGAACGTTGCACGATCCCATTTTTCTTCTTCCTTGACCTTCCTGCGTCCCGGAGCTCATCGGGCCCCAAGCTTTGACTTTCTCGGTGTGGCTGTCATTGGCGCACCTGCACATTTTGCTGAATGCGCAGCAATGCTCAGGAAGGAGGGCTCAGCTGACCATGCTTGGCAGGAAGACTTAACAGTTTCTGCTCAACGTGCCCTAAGTGCGTAAATTATTTTTTGCCAGTTGGCAGACCTCTCACACCCCAGGCCTGTTCTGAGCTGCAACGTTTCAACGCTCCGTCGGCTACCAAGGCCTTAGAAAGAGAGAGAGAGAGAAAGAGAGAGAGAGAGAGAGAGGGCGGAAAGTTTCTTCCTCTTGATTGTGGCTTGTAGCATAACCAGGTTTGGAAAAAAAAAATAAACTATCCTAATTCGTTTCATTGGAATGGTTTGTCTCCAGAAGCTTTGTGGGGCTCTATCACTTGAGGTTTTTAAGAAGAGTTTGGATAACAATTGGTCCAGAATGAGCAGGTTTGAGAAGATCTCCAAGGTTCCTTCCAAATCTTGTTATTATTCTGTTTTGATTCTGTTTTAAAAAGGAGGGTTTTTTTTAATCTAAAGGTGCACGGAGGAACACTGTTCCCTTCCCACCAAAAGGTGGTCCCTATTTTTCTACCTGCATTTTTTACATGTTTTCGAACTGCTCGGTTGGCAGGTAACAGGCAAGAGTTAATCAGAGTTGGAAGGGATCTTGTAGGTCATCTAGTCCAACCCCCCACCCAAGCGGGAGACCCTACACCATTTCTGATAGATGGCAGTCCAGTCTCTTCTTGAAAGCTGCCAGGGATGAAGCTCCCACAACTTCTGAAGGCAACTTCTGTTCCATGAGTTGATAGTTCTCCCTGTCAGAAAATTCCTCCTTATTTCCAGGTTGAATCTCTCCTTGTTCAGTTTCCATCCATTGTTCCTCGTCTGGCCTTCGGGTGCTTTAGAAAACAGCTTGACCCCTTCCTCCTCCTCTCTGGGGCAGCCCCTCAAATATTGGAAGATGCTCTCCTGTCTCCCCTGGTCCTTCTCTTCCCTAGACTAGCCAGGCCCAGTTCCTGCAACCGCTCTTCATGTTTTAGCCTCCAATCATCCCCTCATCATCCTGGTTGCTCTTCTCTGCCCTCTTTCTAGAGTCTCAACCTCTTTTTTGTAGTGTGGTGAACACAACTGGGTGCCAGTACTCCCAGCAGAACCTGGGACAAGTAACGGGAGCTCACTCCGTGATGCGGCGCTGGGGATTCGAACGGCTGAACTGCTGACAAGCTCAGCGTTTTAGCCACTGGGCCACTGAGTCCCTATTCAGCTATAAAGTAAGACAGATCTTACTCTACGGAGTTCAAACCCTCTACCCAAAACTGAGTTCAGGGACCTGTGCAACCCCAATGGCTGCAGAAATGCCTTAGCGCCGTCAGAAACCCAGCTCCTGCCTTCGGCATTTGTAAGAAGGGATTACGCTTAATCTCTCCAAGTGGTGCGTAATTGAAAACGTGGGATAACGCCCCACATCTGGCCAGCTTCCCCCACCCTCCCTTTGCCGGCCCCTTTAGCCTTCTGGAAGGCTGTAAAGATTTGCTCTTTACCCAGGGGTTAAATGATTAATTTCAGCTTTTAGAATTTTATTGTGTTTGGCAGCAGGCCAGCGCTGGGTTTCAAGATGGCTAAGCCAGGCGGATCTCTTAAATAAACGAAGAGAAGCAACTCCTCGACTTACAATGGTTTTGTTTCGCGGCGTTACAATGGCGCTGGGGGAAGGAAAAAAAAAGGACTTACGACCGTTTTTGACACTTTCGCGACGGTTGGAGCATCAGGGGGTCAAAATTTGGAAGCCTGGCGATTGACTCGTATTCACAACGGCTCCAGTGTCCCGTGTGTGTGTGTGTGTGTGTTGTGTGTGTGTCATGTGATCCCCTTTTGCGACCTTCTGACCTTCCGGGTCAATTAAGGAGGCCCGACAGTTAAAAATCTGGACTTTAATTGCTGGGATTTTGGGTTTTTTTTTTTTTTAAAAAAAATAAATCTCTTGGGTTGCTGTACTTCACAGCAAGGTCAAAGATGCTGTCAAGGTTGGCTCTTCCCCTCTGACCGTCTCGCAAAAGGACGGGCGCAATCGAAACTGACCTGAATTCTTCTTCCCAACCGAGGTCTGGCTGATGGGCGCCACGGTCGCCGCTGCCGAACTGGGCGGCGCCTGCATCTTCAGGGTGCTTGACGGGGTCCCCTGAAATATTAAAGCAAAAAGGATTGGTGAGAAAACAGGCAGGGCACAAACGGTCCAGAAAGCAGATGAGGTGAGAAGTTTCCATTGAGGGAGGCCTTGGGAAAATTTATATCTGTTTATCTTATCTTATCTTCTCCTTTCATTTGTCCTTTCTTTTCCTTCCCATCCTATTTCTTTCTCTCTTTCGTTCCTTTTCCTTTCCTTCCCATCGTATTTCTTTCTCTTTCCTTCTCTTTCCTTCCCTTTCTTTTCCTTCCTATCCTATTTCTTTCTTTCCTTCTCTTTCCTTCCCATCCTATTTCTTTCTCTACCCTTCTCTTTCATTCTTTTTCCTTTCCTTCTCATCCTATTTCTTTCTCTTTCCTTCTCTCTTTCCTTCCCATTTCTTTTTCCTTCTCTCTTTCATTCCCTTCCCTTCCCATCCTATTTCTTTCTCTTTCATTCTCTCTTTCATTCCCTTCCCTTCCCATCCTTTGTTTCTCTTCCCTTCTCTCTCTTTTGTTCCCTTTCCTTTCCCCTTTTCCTCTCCATCCCACCTTCTTCCTCCATTTCTTCCCTCCCTCCCTCGCTTCTGGGATGTGGCACGTTGGTTAGAATGCAATATGAAATGCTAACTCTGCCCACAGCCTGGAGCTCGATCCCGATCAGCCCAAGGTTGACTCGCCCTTCCGAGGTTGGTAAAATGAGGACCCCGATCGTTGGGGGCGATAGGCTGACTCTGTCAACCACTTAGAGAGGGCTGGGAAGCACCGGGAAGCGGTGTATAAATCTAAGTGCCGTTGCTCTCAGCGTCCTTTCAGCCACAGCCTCCTCCGGCTTGGCTTTCCCTTCCTTTCGACCCTTTCACTCTTCCCGGAAATCAGCCGTACCTGGTTGACTTGATTTGTTGCCACCATAGCCAAAACTTGATGGACACCTTGAGCAGCACTTTGAGGAACTGATGACCTGGAAGAGGAAGTGGGAAAAGAATGATAGAACCCAACCAAACAACTCAGGGAGCAAATTAAACACGTCTTCTACTTTTAGGAGGGGAATCTAGGCCGGAAACCAACCCGTGTCTGCGATCACTAATCTCTCCCCTCTCTTCAAGCACCTGAGAAAATTCAAGGCAGGTTTATATTCCCATAATGACAATCCGGTAAGGTAGGCCGGGCTGGGACGAAGCAGCTGACACAAAGTCATGGCCAAGCAGGGGACTTTTCCCCGCTGAAAAATCCGATATTGACAGTGAAAACTGCAGCCTTTTGGGTCTACATTGATAGCTAAGAGCAGCGAAGCGGCTTCGGGTCAGACTCTCAGCAGAGAAATTGGGGAGAAAAAGTATAATAATAATAAGGATGAGGAAGTTTCACTGGCTCGTGATTTGCAACTCCGGACAAAATGTCCAAGGTCAGCATAAAACAAAAGACAAACGGCTTTCCCCTGCGGTGGAAGCAGAGAGAGAGAGAGAGGGAGAGATATATCATCTATCACCGCAGCTTAGCAGAGACACAAACTCAGACACGGATCCCGATTTAGAAAAAGGAAGGGATAATTAGAGAAAGAAAGAGAGAGAAAGTGAGAGAGAGAGAAAAAGAAAGAGAGGGAGAGAGAGAGAGAAAGAAAGAAAAAGTGTGAGAGAAAGAGAAAGAGAGAGGGAGAGGGAGGGAGAGAAAGAGAGAGAAAAAGAGAAGGGGAGAGAGAGAGAAAGAGAGAGAGAATGAAAGTGTGAGAGAAAGAGAGAGAGGGAGGAAGAGAGGGAGAGAGAGAGAGAGGGAGGGAGAGAGAAAGAGAGAGAGCGAGAGTGAGAAAGAGAAAGAGAGAGAAAGTATGAGAGAAAGAGAAAGGGAGAGAGAGAGAGAGAAAAAAAGAGAGAGAGGGAGAGAAAAAGAGAGAAAGAGTGAGAGAGAGAGAGAAAGAAAGAGAGAGAGAGAGCATTTTCTTTCCAGCTCTTTCCCCAACTCTGAAACCAGAGCATTTGACGAATTTCTTCCTGCTTCCGGTCAGATAGTCCCCCCCGACTTGTTTAGTGACCGTTCAAAGTTGCAACAGCACTGGGGAAAAAAGCGACGGGTGAGCGTTTTTCACACTTACAACCAACAGCAGCAGCATCCCCGTGATCCGCTTGGCAACGGACACCTATTTATGACGGCCGAGTCAACGGGGAGAAGGCGGGTGAGTTTTTACAGCCCCGTGACTAACCGGCAGCGACTGGCTTCACAAAGCGGCGAGAAAAGTCGTAAAATGGGGGCACAGCTCACTTAACAAGTTAGCTACGTTGGGCAAACCTAGCCAAAATTAAGGCTAGGTTCACCCAAGATAGCTAACTAAGACTTGTCAAGTTCCTAGAAGCTGTATACACACAACCCCTGCCTTGTCCACTTGTGTAGAAGAAGCAGTGGGCGGGAGGGAATGATTAATCGGAGGAACGGCTCGACATCCGAAATTGTGGGCTCTCCATCAATGGGGGCTTTTCAAAGACAACTGTCCAGCTTCTCCAAGGCAAAATGTCCAGAGTTTTATAGCAGAGTTTTGCTCCATTAAGCAACACTGTGTGTTCTTGGCTTTGGTAATAAGCTGCTCCGGAGAAATTCAAGGACAACTGAGTAGGGTGGGAAGTGAAGACTTGCTATGGCTGGAAAACTGGACAAGACACAATTGTGGAAAGCAAGCAACCTCCCTCACCTTTGAAAAGAAACATCTTTCATTGAAGCCTGCACATTTTTTAAAATATCTTTTTCTTTTTTTTTGCCCGTTATAAATACACACTGCAGCCAAAAAGTTAACGTTAACAATGAATGAACTCAACCCACTCCCGATATCTCTGCTTTTGGGGATTCTGCGAAGAATCTACTTCTATCCGGCTTGAAGAATATTTCCTTTATTTGGAAAAGAGACCGGAGGAAGGAAGAGGCGACCTACCCCACTGCTGGAGAAACGGTCGGGGGAGACCCGCTGCTTTTCAGCTCTCGGACATTTACCACCTGAGGGATGTTCTTCAGAGTCGATTCGGTCAGGGAGGGGTTCACCACTGTTGAATAAGAATAAAGAGCAAGGAAATAATGAATAGAATGGAATAGAGAATAAAATTAGAGATGAATAGAATAGAATGAGAAATGAAACGATTAGAGAATAGAATATAGAGAATAAATAGAATCAAATAGAACAACTGAATCAAATTGAATCGAAATAGAATAGAATAGAATAAGAAATGAATAGAATAGAATGAGAAATGAAGTGAATAGAATATAGAGAATAGAGTAAATAGAATAGAGTAAGAAATGAGTAGAATAGAATAAAAAGAAAATAGAATAGAATAGAAAGAAAATTAGAATAGAAAGAAAATAGAATAGAAAGAAAATTAGAATAGAATAGAAAGAAAATAGAATAGAAAGAAAATTAGAATATAATAGAATAGAAACAGAATAGAATAGAAAGAAAATAGAATAGAATAGAATAGAATAGAATAGAAAATAGAATCGTAGAATAACTTTATTTGGCCAAGTGTGATTGGACACACAAGGAATTTGTCTCCAGTGCAAAAGCTCTCAGTGTACATACAAGCAACAAGTGATAAATTTATGATTTCGGCAGAATCTCATCTGCCATCATCAGGCAGTTCTGTACTGTGTTCGTCTGTGAGTCAGACTTTTACAGTTGTTTGCACTTTTACAGTCTGACTCACAGACGAACACAATACAGAAGCCTGATGATGGCAGATGAGATTCTGCTGAAACGTTGCTACAACTTTGAAAGCACAACTACAATGACGTGGGAAAATACCCGAACAAACAACAGCCGTCTCGCTCAGCAGTGGACATTTCTGGGCTTCATTATGGCCGTTAAGTCAGGGACGATCTGTAAGCCAGGTGTTCATGCTGGAGTTTACCTGGATTCTGGTTCGCCATCTGTCTACGGAAGGCAGCTTCTGCAGCAGCCTGGGGGGCTGGGAGAGTGACAGAAGGAATGGGAGCTCGGTGCTTCACTGTCTTCGTTGCCAACATTGGGTTCTCTGCCCCAGGTAGGATGGGCCTAGGGGTAGACACTAGGGGAGGGAGAGAGAGGAGAGAGATACATGTGTGTGTGTATCTGTCTGTCTGTCTGTCTGTCTGTCTGTCTGTCTGTCTATCTACCTATATCTATCTACCTACTTATGGTATCTATCTATGGTACCTACCTACCTACCTACGGTATCTATCTATGGTATCTATCTATGGTATCTCTACCTACCTACCTATCTACCTACTACCTATACCTACCTACTTATGGTATCTATCTATGGTATCTATCTACCTACCTACTCTATCTATCTATCTATCTATCTATCTATCTATCTTTGGTTAGGATAACCTCAAAAGTCGAACAACGTGAAGGAAACAGTCATGGGACTATTAAACTAGGTTGAATAAACTGACTCTCCTTAGATGGCTTCACTTAACTTTAAACCACACCTTGTTTTGAATCTGATGTGTTGATTAAGCTACAGCGCCTGCCTGGACTTAAAGAGGACTTCAACTCTCAGAATCCTCCACCCTTGCTGGGAAGTGTGGGAGCTGAAAGGCACTCCCAAGTTCTTTTTACAGTTCCCAGAATTCCCCAGCCGGGAATTTGTCCCGTGGTTAAGGATTCTGGGAGTTGGCCTGTGTTCAGATTGGGGAAATCTTTTAAAACTTTGGTTTCAGCTTCTGCGTCATGCTAAGATACAAACAAACTACATACCAACTGGTCCCATGCTGATGTGGGGTTTGCCAAGAGGCAGGGGCTGCGACAGCAGGGGAGGCTGGATCGAAGGCGTCCGGACAACCGGGGCGTGACGAGGCACTGGGACAGGTACCACCACCTCCACTTCCTCCTGATCCACCGCTTCCACGTCCTCGTTCTCCAAGGACTGGGCGACTGAAGACGCAGAGCTGATCTCATCCAGGTCTTCGTCGTATCTCAGAGACAGGAAAGCTGACTGGGACAGAGTTGCTGCAAAATATAAATATATATATATATGGGTTGAACTCAAAATTTATCTTGCAAAGTGAAACGTTTCTTAGGTTTCACTTTGCAAGAGTTCCGCCCCATTCTGTGACCTTTCCTGCCACCGTTGTTAAGCGAATCCCATCGTAAATACGAGTCGGTTGCCAAGGGTCCGAATTTTGATCGCGTGACCCGCGGGGATGCTACAACGGTTGTACGTGTGAAAAACCGTCATAAAACCTCTTTGCTCAGTGCCGCTGTTAGCTCGAGCGGTCATTTAAACAAACGGTCGTAAGTCAAGGACTACCTGAACTGGATTAAAAGCCTTTGGGTTTGAATGGCTTCAAAATGCTCTGAATTAAAGTGAGAACTACACGGATCATCGAAAATTCAGCGGCTAAATGCAAAAAAGGAGAAGTAACTCGTTTCCTGTCCTGAAATGGAAAATATTTATTTTATTGATATATTGATGTTGATTTCGTTTACCTGGTGCGGTTGAGCGGACAGGTGGCAGTTTTCTCTTGGAGAGGAAATTCCTTAGCTGAGCCTGCTTCACAAGGGACAACTTAGCTGTAAGAACCAGGGAACAAAAAACCTTGCTTTAAGGGCTCTTTAGTTTAATATAGTTTAGTTTATTGTCATTGCAGCTCCTACAACGAAATCGAACACCATCTTCTGTGCACATCATGACCATGAAAATAAACACAAACACACACCCTCCACAAATTGAACCAACAGCCCCTGACACAGCACCAACACTGCACTACACAGCAGAATTCAAAAGGATAGACGCCCTGGTACAGAAGCTGTTTTTCAGCCTGTTTGTCCTTGTTTTTATTATTCTCCTGTACCGCCTGCCAGATGGTAATAGTTCAAAAAAAAAAAAAAAAAGGTGCCCAGGATGAGATGGATCTTTGAGGAAGTTTTGAACTTTCTTAAGGCAGTGGGAGCTCTAAAGCTCTTCCAAAGAGGGGAGAGGGCAACCCAGGATCCTCTGGGCAATGACATTAACCCTCTGGGGCGCTTTCCTATCTGCCCCTGGGCAATTGGCAGACCATGCACAGGGGCAGTAATTTCAAAATATGTCTGTTAAACCCACACTGTGTAGTATGTAGTATGTGGCTCCTTGTTTTTATTGTCCTGTACCGTCTGCCAGATGGTAATAGATCAAAAAAAAAACAAGGGTGCCCAGGATGAGATGGATCTTTTGTGGTTCGTGACGTTGGTCACTAAATGAACTGTTGTAAGTTGAGGACTACCCGTAGGGGATCGAAAACTGATTTAGTTCCTTTTCAAATTCGTGTCTTTTTAGAAGTGAGCGTGCGACCTCTATCTATGCTAGGTGTCGTTGGTTAAAGTGCCTGGCTAGAAACCGGGAGGCTGCGAGTTCTAGTCCTGCCTCAGGCACACAAAGCCAGCTGCTTTCTCTCAGCCCTAGGAAGGAGGCAACGGTCCATTGCTTCCGTAGAAGCTGGTCAAGTAACGGCGGGGACTACTTACCGGGCGAGGGGGAAGAAGCTTTGGTGGAAGATTCCAGCGTGGCTTTTGTTAAGGCGTTGCTCAGATTCTCCAGCTCTCTCTCCAAACTGTCATGAAAGGGGGGAGGGGGGGTGGAAATTAAAAAAAAGCACGCAAAAGTGAGGTGTGAAATCGCCACACCGCTCACAACCCAAGTGCAAGTGAGAGCAAGGAACTCGGAAAACCCTCAACGCCGCATTCGTTCGTTCGTCCACCACCCGTTCTGATTCAGCGGCGTTATTCTTCCACAATCTCATTCTCATTCAATTCAGGTAAGGCAAGAGAACAGATTAAGGGAGCTTGGAGGTCTTCTAGACCAACCCCTTGCTCGAGCACTTGGACTAATGGCTGTCCAGTCTCTTCTTAAAAGCCTCCGGCGATGGAGCACCCGCAGCTCCAGAAGGCGAGCTGTTCTGGAGTTCTCCAGAAATTTCTCTTTAGTTCTAGGTTGGTTGTCCCAAAAGGGGCTTTTTTTTTTTTTTTTCAGGAGGCCTCTGGACGTCCTCGTTTTTTTTCTTCGAAGACGTTTCGCTTCCCATCCCGGAAGCTTCTTCAGCTCTGACTGAACGGCAGGGAACGGAAGGATTTTATATTCCTGGCAGACAGCTGGTCATTTGCATCCTTTTTGAGAGAGCCTTTGAGGCCACTTCGTTTTGGAGGTTTGTCCTGTGCTGAGAAAAGTCTTCAGAGAAAAACCAGAAAGTCCAGCTGCCTCTTGAAAAAGCACCTTTGGGACAACCGCCACTTGATGGGTGACTTAAGGATCTCCATAGGCTTCGAGGTTGCTCCTCCCCTTGGTGAGTTTCCACCTGTTGCTTCTTGTCCTGCCTTCAGGTAGTTTTGGAGACTAGGGTTGGCCTTCCTCTTCCTTGGGGAAACCCCTCAAATATTGGAATACTAGCTACCAACAGCGAAAACGATGTTCCGCGCAAACCCAGAAAGATCCCTTCCTCCCCAACGTTTTCCAAATGGGTCAACAAGAGAGGAAGGAAGAATTCTTCAAGCCGTCCTCACCTCTGGATGCCAGGGTGTGAAGAAGCGGGAGCGGAGGCGTTCCACTGAGTGACGTGGTTGTACAAACGGAGCTCGTACAAGCCGTCGACCAACTTCTTCAGCCTCTTCCTCTGCTGGTTGATGATCTCTCGGTTGTTCGTGAGGGCGTTGAAGAGAGTCTCTCGCTCGGGGACAGCTAAGCGCCTAGGTCAAAAGCCCGGACAGAGAGAGAGAGAGAGAGAGAGAGAGTGAGGTAAGGAGGAAAGGACGAGGGGAAAAAAAAGAGACACGGCTGTGCTTGCAACTCATTAAAAGGAGGAGAGAGGTCTTCATTTCTCCGTTCGAAATCCACTCACTTCTGCTTCTTCTGCTGTTCCAGGTGCCGATCCCACTCTAAATCCAGAACGTCGTTCACGTCTTGGACGGCAAACTTCACGTACTGATGCAAGCGGCGGATTTCCTGCCCGGGAGAACATTTCAACGTTCAGCTCAAAACGCGGGAAGTTCTTCGGGGGTGGATCAAGCTGCCCGAGGGGAAGGTTGGGCCCTTAACCAAACATCAGGGATGGCTTGGTGGCCTCTCTGGCATTCTCAGATCTGGAGGTATTTGGAGCCAACGATCAGTATATACCTCCCCTCCTCTCCTTCCCCTTCCTCTCTTCTTTCCCCCTCTCTCCTCTTCTCCCTTCCCTCTTTCTTTCCCTCTATTCTCACCCCTTTTCCTCTTCTCTCCTTCCTTCCCTTCCTTCTTTCTTCCCTCTGCTCTCCCTCTCTCCTCCCTTTCCTCCCTTCTCTTCCATCTTCTCTCCTCTCTTCTTTCCCTCTCTCCTCTCACTCCTTTTTCTTCTTTCCTTCTCTTCCTTCCCTTCCTTCCTTCTTCCCTCTGCTCTCCCTCTCCTCTCCCTTTCCTCTCTTCTCTTCCTTCTATCTTCTCT